AAATCTACTGATTGTATTTAATATAAAAGAGTGTCATTTTTCCAACCCCATATTGGGTTCGCAAGCTAACCGCTCTCTGATTGTTATGTTGGACGGTTTTTCCCTTGTATTGCATATCAAAGTGACTTCCCATAAGATCACACATCCTTGCAGTTCTCTACGTTGAACACGTTTAATTTTAAAATTCTTACAAGAATTCTAACGTTACTAGCTTATGCATTCAGTTAAAAGATTACGATGTCCTAACCACTGGACGAAAGGGACACGTTATTTTTTAAGATAATTTAACCACGATAATAATTAGTTAAGAGATTGATCAAAATACTAAAGAAGGATAAAGTTTGGGTCACATAAAAATAGTAACCCAAATAAAAAACTTTACCTTATACTTTTAAGTGAATAGTAACATCTCAATTCTCATTGGCAATGGACACTGGGTAGGAAGAAATTAGACGCCGACCAAACATCACCATCTAAAACAAAACTTACACTTTTGATTCTTTTTTTCCTTATAATATAAAGCATTTTTCTTAGTTAATTAGGAGAAGTGAAATAAAATGATGTAAAAAAGGGAGATCGCTTTGCTAAATATCACCTAATCGGCTAATCCGACCATTTCATTTTGAGCACTTCTACTATGCTATATAGTATTGGTGCTTTAATGTACAATTTAAAGTTGTACCATAACATTAAATGTATAAGTTTAGGTTGTACCATAAAGCAATTTGTACCATTATGTTATGGTACAACTTTACAACTTGAAGTTGTACCATCACATAAAGGTACAAGTTCAAGTTGTACCATAAAAGAATTTGTACAAAAAGTATAGGTACAATATGAAGTTGTACCATAACGTAAATGTACAATTTTAAGTTGTACCATAAAGGTAAAACCCTATAGCACCAATACTATATAGCATTGTAAAATTTCTCTTTCATTTTCGGCTTATAAGGAATAAAAATGGATGCCGGTGTTTAGGACGGCCAGGGATGGTGTCATCATGTTATTGTATATATGTATGTTCCGTCACCGTCGATTTCTTTTACATTATGGATTGATTACGAGCGAAGTTTATTATTTTATAATTAGTTTCCTTGTCAAATTTTTTTATGAAGGTGAAGATAATATTAAACCAAAAAAGGAGAAAAGTCAATTATTATCACCTAACTTTCTAATATTTTCTCTTGATGATTTTTTAAGTGATGCGCACAGATCGGAACAATCCACAATAATAAGAAAGACATCGATCATCGAGAAAGCAAAGAATATAGAGATTCACGTGATTCACCAATATAACGTGTGTTAATTAGTCCACGGGCATGAATAGATCGATCTCTCGATACAAATGACAGAGGAGTATGAGAAGTATTTATAGTACTTCTCCTATGGCTAATCCTAATCCAATATAGTAAAGAAAAGAAATACAGACTAGGAACCTGCTCTCCCTAGCCCCTAACACACATCCTTGTATCTTGATGAGACATGTTTAATGTTCTAAGTACAGGGGGAGTGATATAACATTAAATCTCAGGCATCTTCTAACATTCTGAGTTATTGTGATGAGTTAATTCTGGACATAGTACCAAAAACTTGATGGAAGGTTGAGTGTTCATATGCTGGTAATCCTCGGGCTTTCACTGGATGAGACGTGTAAGGGAATTGCATAGCACCTAACATAAGACTTCTTTCAATGTACAAAACTCGAGTTATTGAAATTATTTGGTTCTCGACATCGACATTCAGCGGCGGATCCAGAACACAGAAGTGTACTGGGCCGCATTTTATTAGAAAATTAGAATAGTAAAAAAATATAATGATTATAATTTTTTTACAATGTAAATTGCACACGACGGTATTTTAATTTAGCGAATGCATTTATAATGGAGTCCACATCCATACCAATAGTATACACTGTTTCAAATAAAATACTTGGGCAATCGACTAGAAATCCATCGCTCATTTTGTTGCGCAAATCAATTTTCACATGTTTTATTGTTGAAAATGTTCTATTCGTATTAGTTGTTGAAACGAGCAGCTGTGTTTTAGTCTACTACACAAATCAATCTACTAATCAATTTGCATTGTGTTTCCATCCTTATATCCACCAGTTGCTCTAGTAAATTTTTCAAGGTAACAAACCTCATATATGTTTTAGTCTTTTACGTTTTAAACTTTTTGAATTTTTAGGTTTCATTGTTTTTTTAGACGAATAACCTTTGGGGTTAGAATTTATAAGCTAAATTTAGAGTAGTGATTTTGAATATGTTTATCTGAATTATTTTTCTAATTATACCCAATCTTATTTTAAAATAACAACGACCCGAATATCTAAAATCGAAAAATTTATAAGCCCTATATTAACTATGGATCTAGAGGAGGGCTGGCCCGGGGCCCGGGGCGGCCACCCCCTGGATCCGCCGCTGTCGACATTGGTTGAGACGAATCAGCGACTGGATACCTTAATCACCAGGTTGGAGACGCAACCAATGGGTACTCCACTACCACTAGGGAATCCAGCAGATGTCGCATCTCACACTAGAGTCGTGAACCAAGAGGGTCTTAGAGCAGATCGAGACTATCAAGCTTTTCCTGAGAACCCATAATGGCAGGTGCAGAGGCTTCAATACACGGAGCAACGTTGTCAAGTAATCCTATAGTACAAACCTCCATTTAATGAGTATGAGAATGATTATCATCAGTATGGAGGAAGACCACCAGAAGCAGGGGTTTATGGTGTTGAACCGATTTGAGGGATTAAGCGCTCAATCCCGTCGTTTCAAGGCACTAATAGTGCATTTTCTTACCTCGACTGCGAGAGGAAGATGATTATCTTTTTCTAGAGAAATCCTTATCCAGAGCATCGGAAAGTTATTGTAGCCACTTATGAGTTTGCAGATTGTGCAGTAGTTTGGTGGGAAAGGATTCAGCAACGACGAAGAAGGAATTTGCAGCCTAAAGTTTCTACTTGGTAAGAACTCCAAGGCTTGATGCGTGATTGGTTTGTTCCTCCTTTCTATCATAGGGATCTTCATGATGCCTTGCATGAAATTCGGCAAGGGGCGCGCTCTGTTGATGAGTATTTCAAGGAGCTGGAACTGCACATGATGAGAGCAAATGTGAGGAAAGACATGAAAGCAACGATTTTTTGCTTTCTACCTGGGCTCAACAGAGAAATCAAGAATGAAGTAGAGCTTCATCATTTTTTGGAGTTGGAGTAAGCGGTGCATTTGGCCATGAAAGTTGAGAGGCAGCTGAAGGTGAGCTCGGGAAGAAGGTATCCACCTTTACCAAAACCTGCTGCAGAGAACATTTCTGAGGCTAACATGAATCACCCTAAGCAAGAAGGTGACAAGCCAGCTGCCAGGAACAGAGCCCCAGTCATTTAAGCCAGGAATGAAGGCTCAACTGGAAGCATCCAGTGCTTCAAGTGCTTTGGTAAAGGTCACAAAGGCAACCAGTTCCCCAACAAGAAGACTCTTGTCTTGTGAGATGGATATGACTTTTCTGAGGAGGAGTATGAAGAGAAGTCGATGGGGCAGGGACACGACCTCTATTCTGATGATGTCAATGTAGATGAGCACATCAAGACTGAAGAACCTTCAGTAGGTAAACTTCTGGAGTGAATCGCAGAGCCTCGTATATTGAAGCTTACACAAAGACGGAGCAGAGAGACCATCGTTTCCATTCTCATTGCTTCGAAGACAAGAAGGTGTTGTCTGTTGTTATTGATGGAGGTAGCTGCACCAATGTGATTAGTTTGGATGCCGTCAAAAAGATGGAATGGAGCACCATCAAGCATCCTCAATCATACACTCTGCATTGGTTGAACGACTATGGGAATATCAAAGTCAATAAGAAGGTCAAGGTTTGTTTTCAAATTGGTGATTATGCAGGTGAGATTTGGTTTGTTGCTGCTCTAATGCAGGCTGCTCATCTCTTATTAGGTCGTTTGTGGAAATACAATCGAGAGGTCATTCATGATGGAAGGCACAACAGCTACAGGTTCAAGAAAGGCGATCGAAAGTTTTTTCTAAATCCATTGTAACCAGCTGAAGTCCAGGAAGATCAATAACCGCTGGAAATGAGTTAGGCCAAGGTGAAATGAAAAGCAAGTGGTTCGACGTTGGAGGGTGAAACTGGAGCACATCTGATTGTTCGAAAGAACATGTTGACTGCATTGATGAAAAGTTCGTGTGGAAATGTTGTTGATGTTGTTTCTTGCAGGAACCACAAGCTTTGAGTGAAACCTTTCCCAACAGGGAGGGACTGATGTGAGCCAAATTCCCAGGACCCGGGCCCAAGAAGAAGACAGGGAGGCAAAGGAGCTGGCGGCACTAGTAGCGGGAGGCCGGAGATTTTTGGCTTGGACTTCTCCGATCGGGGAAAAGAGAAGGAGGCTAGGGAAAAAAAGTAGGGGGCCCCAGGCGATGGCCCTAAATACCTGACCGGGTATTTTGCCCTAGTATCGGGGCTTACCGGCAAAGTTTGAAGTTTTTAACTTGTTTTAATTATTTTAATTTTCCGGACCTATATAAAGGCTAAAACTCGGATTTTAGGGTTAAATTTTAGCAGAATATTGATTTTTATCTTGGATTTAAGCTTTCAGTTTGAAATTTTTTCTATATCAATCAAAATTTCCCCTTGATTGTGGTCGAGATTCTATCTTTTTATATTGATTGAGCTTTCTCCAGTTTTGTGTTGGGATTGCCCTTTCAATTCCATCATATCCCTATCATTTATCCTTGTTCTTAGCTGCGTTACTTTGATAACTACAAGTACAGGATCCATGCTCATATCACCCATCCATTCAACTCTCGATCTCAACCCCTCTAAGGGCTTAGGTCGATTCTCGATTTTTGTGATGCTTGAAAAGTCAATGCGTCAATAGGTATTAGAGCCTGGTTCGACGGAACCAAGCTAGAAACAACTCCCAGGACAGACATCACCAACGTTCGACCACCAACATTGGGAAGTGGTCCCGCGAGCACCCACCGCCGTCATCATGACCTGCCACAACAAGGTGGATACGCAGCCTCCTTCCACCAAAATGACGTGTCGAAACTTTCGACAGACGAAGGCAAGGGCGACGTCGCGAACCCTTTGACCGATGAAGGGTGGATCGGTGCCACGACGACCCCGAACGACAAAGCCCTAACCATTAGGGACAGGGTTCTTACGAGGGATAACCCACTGTCTGACGTGCCCCCATGGAAGGAGCTAATCGTAGCTCGATCTTTATCAACCGCCACCAACAAAGAGCTAACCGTATCTCTCTCAACACCAACCACAGGCGCCGAGCTAACTGTAGCTTGCCTGCGAATATCGACCACACGACCACGAATCATTTTCAAGACCCCGACTTTCATAGTCGAGGAGATTACAATCATTGCCACCAAGGCATCTGACTCGCTATGACACAACTCCTAACAATGGCCAAGTGTAACCAATGAAAGGGACAGTAGTATAGTGGCTCAAGTAATAAATATCGAATCCACGGGTCTCTAGAGTTACTATTACTCAGCTTCAGTTCATTATCTAGCAAACCAGATTAAGTGGAAGAACTAAAACTACTCTAAACTACAGTTAAAGTTAATCTAATTATAGGTTGGGAACTCACTTAGGTATGATTCCCCCTAGCCACTAGCCAGATTAATGATTGATAATCTCTAACTTGTTTCAATTTCATTCACAATGCGGAGAATCCTTGACTATACCTTGAATATCGACTAAAGGATCAAGGCCCTCTTGAGTCGATTGCCTAGAGGGACGTATCCTTCTCTAAAACAACCGATCAAGGCATTCTGAACCAAATTCCCTCTATCGAATGAGGTTATCAATCGATACAAAGCAGTGAATCGACCCTCGACTAAAGCAATCGATCCAATACTATCAGTCTATGGTGCTTTGGTGACCTAATCAGGTATTCGCTCTCATAGGATCAAAACAGAATCAATAATCTCGACTAAAGCAGAATTGAATCGTGAAAACATGCATAGATTGAATATGAACTCAAGATTATCAAGTAAGACTACTCATACAATCATCCAATCAAACAAACATAGCTAGGGTTCCTCAAAACCTAAGTGAAGGGAAGTTACTCCATAGAGAAGAGAGAGACTGCAGTAAGAATCTTCAGATGATCAGTCTTCAAGTCCGGGCTTGTTCCTCGAGCTTCCAAGGCGAAGAAATCCTCCAGTTCCACTCCAAGAATTCCCTCAAATCGTCCTTTCTCTCTTTGGTTCGTCCCTTGGGCGTTTGGGATCCAAAACCCAGCTCTCCCTCTGCAAAAATGCACAAAACAGGCTTTTAACAGCCTGCATTCGCGATCCCTGGTCAGAATACCCGGTCGGGTATTTTAAGTGGTGACCGACGATTGTTGAAATGCACCGTCGAGGACAAGGGATTAATCCCCGGTCAAGGTCAAGAATACCCGACCGGGGATTTATGCTCAATGCTCCGCCATCCCTACATATATCTTCAGCGACATCACCACCAGCCGGTGCGACACCATCGCACCTGGGAGTCTCCGGCCATGCACAAAAGGAGGGAGTTACGAAACTCCTCCCGCAAGTCATTGTTTCATCATTGCCAAGCCTTGGCGTTGCCTCAATTGTAGCCATGACCAATTGTGGCGCTGCAATAGGTCACGAGGAAGCCATTTGTCTTCATGCATCAATGCTCTACGAGTGGAAGAAGAAGAAGAAACTGGAAGCAGCACTCGCTGCAGGCAAGCCTATAGTGGATTTTGTGTCGGTGGATTCAGAACCGTTGAGAATGCACAGGAGGGAGAGCATGATCCCGACCTCATCATGTCTCGAGCGTAGGCTGGATGTCAGAGTAGGAAATTAGGTGTTTGTGGGGAGTTCATTAAGTGGACTTCAAATTTTGGATTCTTTGCAATATGAACCTACGTGGAGGTTGGGTTATGCAGATGGATTACGAGGAACGCATGGGAACTAAATGGGTTTGGGGAAGTGCTTTCATTATGTATTCATATGTATATAGGGCGGAGAAATGCATGGAAAATTCCACCCAAAGCATGGGAAGGAGGAAGGAGACAGAGCTAGTGGTGTTGGGCTCGTTCGGGTGTCGGGACGTAATTGGAAATTTCCAAAACGAGGTTTGCGTCGACGAGCATCTACTCCTTTTGCTATCGTCAATACATGGAGGCGGTTCTTTTTCATTAATCCGGGTGGAGATAGTGCTTGAACTTTGGGGACGAAGTTCTTCGAAGAGAGAGGATTGATGCGTATAGAATTATTATCATTATTATTATCACTATTTCTCATATTTTGATTAGTTACTATATTTGGTAGTTTTGGGAGGATAATTGTGGTAGTCTTAGAGTTGGTTGGGTAGGGATTCGCTATGAATTGGGGGTTGGCGGCTGTTACTTGGCCGAATGGGGGTAGGGATTTGTATTAGGGTTCTGCGGTATTTCTTATATATATGTACTATGTAGTTTTGTTATAATCAATCAATGAATATGTATTAAAAAAACAATGTTCCTATCCTCTTAATTCTCAATCTCAGATTCTCTAAAAGCCTAGGTTGATTCTCGATTTACACGATGATTGAACTCTCAATGCATCAAGATCACATATATAAGAAGAGTTTTATATTGGAACCTGATCATGGTTATAGTAACCCCTCTGTCATATATTTATAATTTCATCTGGTAACATTGTTGCCGCGTATTATTATTATCAAAATAATATTCTGTTTTTTTTCTAAAGAATTATAAATTATTACTTCATTCTTTACATTTACAGCATTTGAACCCAAAATATCTAAAGATGAAGCCTTGGCATACGACCCCAAAAATGTCTTAATATAATATGTCACCATCCGTTATATATATATATATAAAATACTGGTCGGTCAGTTTTATCCAACAAATTGTGGTTAATAATTATAAATAAAATTTGATGTCCTCTTTCAAGTATGTGAAAAATCTCCAGCTGATCATGGTATAGCCTGTTCCAGCACTCAACAACTTAAGTAACCCATAAAAGAACAACAATTCATAACAAATTTTACTTAATTGTCAAGTTCGAGCCTACTTAAACATATATAATAAAAAAACAAGTAGCCTCAAGATAATTAAAATTGATTTATTGAGAATTGAAACTTAATTCAAGAGATTACCGTTAATAACCCCATTATTGGGATTATGGAGATTCAAATACAACTCCATTTAATCACGATAAGCTATAAAAACATATAAATAACTAATTGATGTGAATAACTTAGGATGATTGAGAGAAATTTCTGAATGAATTTTGAGCAATTCTACTATGTTATATAGTATTGGTGCTTTAATGTACAACTTAAAGTTGTACCATAACATTAAATGTATAAGTTTAAGTTGTACCATAAAGCAATTTGTACCATTATATTATGGTACAACTTTACAACTTGCAGTTGTACCATCACATAAAGGTACAAGTTCAAGTTGTACCATAAAAGAATTTGTACTAAAAGTATAGGTACAATCTAAAGTTGTACCATAACGTAAATGTACACTTTTAAATTGTACCATAAATACAAAACCCTATAGCACCAATACTATATAGCATTGTAAAATTTCTTATTTTATATATCATTCCCTCTTGCAGTCATACGTAAATAAATAAAAAAACGGGAGAGGTCGTTCGTCTTGTTTGGAAAGTTGTGTGAGCAAGTTAATAAGAGGCATCCACCGCAATAGGTTCCAAATTTTGTCATCGTTCTTTTGTTTTTTTTTTTTTTAGGGAAAATTTTGTCATCGTTCATTTGATCGTTTGTGCGGATCATTTCCTTCCATCGCATTACTCAATATGTTTTCAATGTTTATAAATAAGTATCAATAACTGTGCAATAATTTGAAGTGATAAGTTTATTAAACCCTCAGAAAACCTATAACTGTTTTTAGTAATGCCTGCCCAATAACATTTCTCTATTCTTCCTCTTTCTTCTGTCGGAGATAATAATTTGACCACTAACTTGGATGCACATGAATGAAGGTATAGCAATTGATGCTTAAGGGCTCGCATAGAAATTCTATTTACCAGTTTGGTCGAAATATTATTTGAATACAACGTATTTATAATTTGTATCTGAAAATTTTAAATTATTTGAAATTTTTAATTTCATATGATATTAAGTTGACATCAAAATTATTTTTTTAATTTTTGAAATTCTAATAACCTTTCATCAATGAACGAACATTGTATCTTTGATATTTATAACTTATCACTCATTTATAACTATTGATGACATGTCTATTTAATGATACAATCAATTAGTTGTCTATGATTGAAAATAAAATTAATGTGGCAAAATAAAGTGTCTGAAAAAGCGTAACATAAATAGGAAACACATAACCATAACCTTTATACAATATTTGTTTCTTTTTCTTGAGAAACAATACATACACACACGCATACATTGTACGCCCGTCGAGTTTTACTATTTAAGCATGAATTAATCTGAGTTTGGGGCATGATACTATACCCGGGACAGGTTACGGTGATTACTATTGGCAAATTGGGTATGACAAAAAATATTATTAATTATATTTTTTAACAAATTACATTTTAGGAAATTAAAAAAATATATTAATTATAATTTTCTATCTCTTTCTCGCACTTCCACAATCTACAACCAGATCTCTCTTCCTTCTTTTTCACAATCTTTGCCTTGTTTTCATTCAACCGAACTAATACCGCTGCAACAATAAAACAATACCAATTAATTAAAAAAACTACTAATGCACAAAACACCAATATCATTCGAGAAATAAAAACACTATCATTTCATAAAACACCAAAATCATTGCAGATTTAATCAATATAAATACATGCAAATCATACCAATATACGATAATTAATACCAATGCAAAAATAAAGAGAAAACACTACCACTACAGAAAAAGAACACTACCATTGTACAAAAAAGCAATACACTTACATGATAATCAGAAAAATGCGGAAAAGAAATACCAATGTGAAAAAACACTACCACTACGGAAAAGTCACTATCAATGAGGAAAAAATAATACTAATGCGAAAAAACATTACCACTATGAAAAAATCACTACTAATGGGGAAAAAAATCAGATCTATGGTTTTTATACATCCCACATTTTCCAGCCACAGTCGTCTCCGAGAGAGAGAGAGAGAGAGAGAGAGAGAGAGAGAGAGAGAGAGAGAGAGAGAGAGAGAGAGAGAGAGAGAGAGAGAGAGAGGGGGTGCCTGCAGCGGTGGGCGAGGGTAACCGGAGTGGAGGGTGGTCGCCGCCAGTGGGAGGATGGCCGAGGGTGCTCGGCTATGGAGGGTAGCCGCCAGCGAAGAAAGGGAACCACCAACAGGAGAGGTGTTGACGGCGATAGAGAATGGGGTTGGAGTAGAGTTTAGGTATATAATATATATAAATTAATTTTCTAAAGGATAAAAATCAGGTGTGGTATTTTTTTTATTCTCAAATTTGATGAATTGAGGGCTCCAAGTACTATTCCCTGCAAAATCCTGGTCAGTATGCTTTAAATTGACAGTCTTTATGGCGATTTGCAACCTAGGGAGGTAGTTGTAGCACTATGGAGGATGTTGCAGTATAAGATTTTTCCTATCTGTCTCTCTGCTGTGCCGGTTGATTTTGTGAACTAGTGGATTTACGACCGTTGATTCATGTGGTATTGATGACTCCCCTTATGCTGTGTTGTGGACTCGTGTATCGAAAAAAGGGTGCTCAAATGTGAAATGAAAAAAGCAGTTGGTCCTCTATGTAAGAAAATTTGAAATTCTAAGACATGGTGTAAGCCCAACGTGTGCGGCACCTTCATTGCACAAAATCGGGTTTTGGAAGAGATTTTAGTGATCCTTGGTGGGGTAGGCCTACAAGGTGAAGCTAAGTTGTCTCTAGTACAAGTAAAATTTTCACCCGTTGAACGGTTTGCCCACTTGAAGATGTGTTTTTAGGGGCACAGAAAGAGCTTCTGAACCCCCTTAATTTCATTGACCATCCACACGAAGGGAAGAATAGGAGTTAAAAAGAAGTACTCTGGCGAGTGACAGAGGTACAGAAATTTCTCTTGCTCACCTAATAAGGGCAGACCGCGCATACAAACTGCAATTGGAACCCCATCAAAGGGAAAAAAAACAAATAGTAAGAAGAAGGGGTTCCACCAAGTGAAATGAAATGAAAGAGCACCTGATACAATGATTCATTGGTTGTCGAATTGTGTGAGTCTCCTTATCCATGAATTGACTGCCTTAGTTCCACTGCTTCCCACGATCCTGGCTTGAGTCTACTACTCGCATTGAGAGAGATAGGGGGCGTCTTAGAAGACCAGTTGACCTCGTAAGTTGCTAAATGATCTAGAAAATCTTCTGCTGACGATCGGGGTTGCATGTTTCTATAGAGGTCTGGAGAGTTGTATTGGTTTGAGTCAGGTTTGCTTGGGGACAAGCAAACGGTTAAGTGTGGGGGAATTTGATGACTTGATATATACACATGTTTTTATCCACCATTCATGTACTGTTTGAGTCTCATCTCTCGTGTTTTAGGCCGATTTCACGCTAGGTTGTTCTTGTTTGTGATATTTCAGGTCCTAGTATGTGAAAGAAGGTTTGGGCACGAGTTCGGGGTCGATTGGACGAAGTTGGGACGTTTGACGAAAAGCTGGAAAATTCACACGGGCATACCTAAATTCCACACGGTCGTGTGACTTGGCCGTGTGACACCAATTTGCACGGGCAAGCCACACTGGCCGTGTAGGGGACCCCTTGTTTCCATGTGAAAAGTCCAGGGAGCTCACACTGCCAGACCGGAAATCCACACGGCAGTGTGGTTTTGGCCGTGTAGCGTACCTGAAGCCACTTAAGTGAAACGCGGCGTTTTGCACTTCCACACGGGCAGCTGGGGATTTCACACGGTCATGTGGCCTGGCCGTGTGATCGGGTAGAAATGGGTTTTAAACCAATTTTAGGTCTTTTGAAGGGGAATCGACTTTTCGAGCAAAAATAGAGTTTTAGAGAGAGAAAGTGCGAAGAACACATCCTAGAGGTGATTTTGGAGCTGGGTTTCATCAATCGAGCTTGGAGATCTTCATAGGAGTGAAGATCATCATCCCGGAGCAGAGCAGATTTTCCTCATCTTTATGAGTATCACTACTCTGATTCCTGTTGTTCTCTCTCTCTCTCTCTCTCTCTCTCTCTCTCTCTCTATGGAGTAGAACCCTCTCTCACTTGGGTATGAAGAACCCTAGTTCCATGTGTTAGGGATCTTGTTTGTAATGACTTGGGATTGTTATACTTATTGATTTTAATTGATTGGTGCATGATTCATTGAGTCAATTAAAGCCTGATCATCTTTTCTTGATTTCTGCTGCAATCTGAGATAGATAGAATCTGATTAGGTTGTTAGAGCTTCATCAATCGGTAGTGGTAGATTGATTATACGAGAGTTAATCGATTTACTGCTTTGTACTAGAATCCAATTCCAGTAGTGGAGTTCTGCGTTCATAGCCTCAGCTTTCTATCCCGGTGAAGACTAGTCGTCTGCCAGGTAGTTGGACTGAGAGGGCTTGGTCAGCTTAAAAGATTCCAAGCTACTGTCGGATCTTCCGCAGTTTAATCAACAGTTAATCAACCCAGGGTAATTACAACTGTGACCTAACTAAGGAGCTACGGGGACTCATTCCCGAGTGACTCTTCCCTTGCTTTAGAAAACCGAACCATTTTCTGCTTTCTTTCTGCTTTTAGTTAAAATCACAATCACTCGACTTAGTTTTCTAGATAATAGATATTCACGGAGTATGCAGTAGATCTAGACCCCGGGTTGACAATTAGAGCTTGCCTGTTACTGCATTTCTGGACTGCGATTACACTTGGTCGCTGTTTGGTGTTGTGTTTTAGCGTGTCATTGACAAATAGAACTTCCCACTAGTCTGCATTTCCGGACTTCGATTACACTTGGTTGCAGTTTGGTGTTGTGTTTTAGCGTGTCAAGTTTTTGGCGCCGTTGCCAGGGACCTCTAGGTTATTGTAGAAACGTGAAAGTCTGTTACTTTAGCATTTACTTTTCTGCATCCTCTTTTCCACCCTTGCTTTTCACTTGGGTATTTTATTTTTGTTGGTGTAGATCTGATACATGGATTATCAAGGCTTCTCCACCCATTGGGGGTATCCACCACCACCCGAGTGGTATTACCCCGAGACTTCCTGGAGCACCCAAGGAGGAGAAGACTATGGAGTAGGGTTACAGAACCAACCCTCCTACTACGAAGAACAATCAGACCCCTGGGTATTTCAAG